TATATATGTCTAATTATATATAAATTTATAATTTTAATATATTAACTCACATAAAAGAGAGAGAAAAACTTCTCCTGCAACAAAGTTTGACGTTTGATATTTTTTTTTAATATTTCACACTTTCGTTTTAAATTACACTATTAAATGCGCAATAAAGTTCCTTTATAATGCAGAGCAAAATTTACAATACACATCCTTTTTTCCTCACACATCAAACAACACGCACACAGCTATAGAAATATTCGTCACATTTAATGAAAAGAATTGAACAAGTGCAATTTTTTTGTGTACGTAAAACGGATCGTTGATAAAAACTCGAATTTGCTTTTGTAATGTTAACAAAAAAACCAAAAAAATAGAACGAAATTTTATAGATACTGCGTTTAAACTGTGTGACATTTTATTGAAAGTATAAACAATTAAGAGAAGTGTGATTCATAAAGACAAATTTAAGAACTATGTGTGGAAAATACACATAAAAAGTGTACAAGAGAATAAACGGGGGAACACATTATATATAATCGTTTTAATGTTGACATTAAAGTGTTGAGGACTGGACGACGAGAGGGATTAACGGTCGTTTGTTAATATTGCACTTGTGTATATTTTGTTGATTTTAATCTCGGATCATACATGAACTTTTGTTGTCTTGCACGCCAGCATCCAAGACCATTCAAATCGCACGCCGCATATAATTCAGACAATTGTCAGACACGTCTCCAAATTCCGATATTACAAAAAAAAAGAAAAGAGAAAAAATACACGACATAATAATAATAAAACAAACCGCGTTAACGTATGTACACGTGTTAACAATTACGTTGCAAGCATGCGCGTGAGAGATAAGAATTTCGATGTACTTTTTTCCCTTTTTTTTTTTTACATTATGTTGTCACACTGTACATGATGATATTCATAACGTTCGAAATATCGTACGATTTAAAACTGAATTTGATTTCAGTTTCCAAACAAGAGACTATCAGTCGAGAAAATGCAAATGGAATCCGATACGTGTACATGCGAGCGAATATTGCTGTTCGATCACTATACAGCAGCTATATCAGATTTCGCAAACAAATTACTACGTTTTTTTTTCTTTCACTTCACGGTCTGCAAGAATGGCGTACAATACGTTCGAAATTTCTGTGCGATCGATTGTGCTCTCGCGCAATCAAAATTCGTTCGGACACAGCTTGCTTGATTATCATCTCGCTGTCAGATGATATTTTTAACACCTTATCAACGAAGTTATCTTCGATAATCACACGCTAGATCGATTTCGTGCTCGCTTGATATAGAAAGTAAAAAATGTACACGGTCATTAAACTTACATAAAAATAAATTAAATTTTATGCTCAATGTATATATGTAAAACGTTACGCGCGTTTTTAAATATACAAGATCCGCGTTGAAATCTTCAACAAAAACTTGGATCGGATGTACATACGTGTCGCTATTCGTTTTGACGCAATATCGCGTCGTCCGTTGATAAGGTGTTAAGATATTCTTCCAATAGCGACGCCAGATTACGTCGTTTGAAGCGCAACGATTCCCTGACTATGTCTTTCACGAACGCGAGTCTTATGTACAGACTTCCTTGAACTTGATGTAAGTGCGAGAACAGCGTATTGTAATCTGAAAAAGAAGGCAAATTTACCGCATGATGAAACGCCACCAACCATAAAAATATAATACGAAAAATACATCGTCATTTTGTGAGAGATTAGATGAGTGATAATATGATCTGATCTCGGTCGTTGCTGACTTACTTGTCCCTCTTCTCCGCACTTCCTTGTAAACCAGTTCCCGAATGTTCAAATTGTGCCGCTTGATGTCTTCCAGCTCCTTCTTCGTCAGCTTCTTCTCCTTCTCCGGCTTCGTCTTGCGCCTCTCCTCCACGTGATTCGTTAATTTCTCCTCGACAACGTTGTCGACAACGCGCACACTGTTCTCGATACTATCGTTACTAATCGGCAATCGATTGCACTCGTTCCGCACGCTGTCTGTCCGTTCACTTCTGACGTCGGTTTTGGGCGTAGTGTCGACATTGTTGACTATCGGCGTTAAAACGGGCGGCGTGTCCATATGATTGTTAATGTGCTCCACCGGAATTGGTTCGAACACCGGTATGGTCGGCATTTCCGCGAGACCGTTCATCAACTTTTCCGGCGCGCTCGAACTCGGCACTGAACCAGTATGAGCCGGCGACGCGTTCGGCAGATTACCGGTCAGGACGGGCGGGAGACTCGTGTCAGTCGGTGTCACCAGCTGATTCTTAGCGTCTTCTATTAGCCACGGAATAGGAGAACTCGGTGGCGTGTTGATTGGCGAGTACGAAGGTCGTCGCACGATCACGTCCTTTGGTATAGGTCCGGGCTTCCGTTTGTTAGGCGGCGGTCTCGGAGAAGACGATCCTCCGCTGTCTGACTGCGGCAAACTGCGCTTCAGACCTCCTTTCGTCGTTGAAGACGTCGCGCCGACTATATCGATATCAGCTTCGTCCACCATCATTCTCTTGTCTATCTTGAAAGGATTACCTGTGAACAAAATGTTAAAAATTGATATGTTTTGCCGGTTTGTGGTTATGCAGTTGACTTGTAGAGCCGATATTCCGCAGTGCAAAGTCCGTTACGTCCACAATGTCAGAAATTCGGTCCTTAATCTCGAACCGACCTCGAGTATTGAAAACAATTCGATTGGTCAGAGATCTCGACTCGATTTCTAACATCATAGACACGAGACTTCATACGAGACTTAGATGACATTCGCAAAGGTTGTTAAATAATTACCGAACATGTGCTGTCTCACTGGTACGCTTTCTATTTCTCTCAACGGCGGTGTCATACGTTTTAAATATTCCTGATAATTTCCCATCTGGGCTAGAGGCATTGAGTGTACATAATCGTCGTCAAGTAATTTCGTATGCAACAAGCCAGGTTGTAAAAAATTTGCGCGCATTCTTACGACCTGATCGAGCAGAGACTTTCTCGGCACGTCGAACGCGTTTCTGTAACTGTGCGCGCCTCGTTGCTGTTGCTGATTTTTCACCAGCCCAACCACGAAGCCTCCGAACTCGTTCAGCTGATCGCGGAGACTCGTGAACTTGTCTTGCAATAAAGGATGAGACACCTACGAGACGCAGGTTTTGGATATATATGTTATGTTATTATTACAAATTTAACTTCATAAGAGATAAATTTGGTCTTTTTGTCAAGCAAGTCTTACCAAATCCTTCTTCAGAGGCGTCTTCGGTATTACTCTAACACCTTCCGTTACTGCATTCGTACCGCTAGATAAATTTTTCGTTAGATTCGAGGCGACGACCTGCTTGGAAATGACTTCGCTGCAGAGCCGATCGAATTCGATCTTGGCCTGATTTTTCAACCGCTTCAGATAATTCAAGACACTGTACGATAAAGAATTATCCATATTATCCGGTATCAGCGTTTGTGCCAGAGGTGCGGACGCACCCATTCTTGTCAACGCTCTCCTCAGTGACTGTAAAAAAAAAAAAAGATTGATTCCGATAAAAAAAAATATAGTCAAGATATTATAACGATACTTGACACAAAAAGAAACCAACCGCGGCGTAGTACGTGGGCATCGTCCTTATGTAACCTTGAAACTGCGCTCTCCACTCCGGAGTCGGCTTTTGTCTATGAACCTTGAAGAGTTCCTCTAACAGAGGCAATAGCACGGGATAGTTGTAAGGCATGACAAAGAGGTTCACGCAAGTTAGATTTGTACTCGCTTTTAGATAGCCGAACGGATGGCCCACGTCGCTCGATTTGTACGAATTAGCGACGAACACCTGCCAGCACGTCGTTGGTTGTCGCCGCGCCAGAATGTATTGCGTCAACGGGCTGGGTTCTAGCTCGTACTTATCAAACGGTAGGTTCTCGATCACCATCGGCTCCTGACTGGTGCATGTGAACTTGACATTGGGATGCGCGGATCTCGGGGGTAATGAACTTGCGCTAAGATCCGGCCAGAAACTCTCGGGAATCGGCCAGAACCCCACCGCGAATCCCTTCTGAGCCGACCGCGGCACGTAAATCAAACGTCTGCATGAGTACCAGGCTGTGTTGCCGGGTGCCAACGCGTTCGGATACTGCGCGCGCGGTCCGTTCGCCGCGTTACCCTCATCCTCGTTCTCCTCCTCATCCTGATGTTGAGGCGCCTCGTTCGTCAACGGCGGCGGATCCGGACCGATTTTCTCAAAATTTATCACCACACCTGACTGAACCTTTTGCACTAAGGAATCTATACACTGTATCATCATTCTGAACGACGTGATGCAATACGAACGACCTGAAACAATACAATCAAGAGACACATTCAGCAAAACAGAAAAGAAAGATAAACGTTGCACAGAAGTGTATATAGTGTTAATTTCTCACCTCCGGTTACTTCGCACATTGCGTCTATCGGCGAGGAGTCGCTCGCCACTAAACCGATATCCCGTTCAACAGCTGGCGTGCCTGATAAACGCAATACTAAAGAAAATAATCTTTGGTCCCATCTGAACGGTTCCTTTGTCAATTCAGAGCCCGGTATCGGGGAATGCATCGGTAATGTAAACTAAAAAAAAATCTCATTGTTTATTCTTTGTACAAATTCCCTTCTCATGACTAAAAAAAAAAAAAAAAAAAACTTCAAACTCACATCTTGATGCACTCCACTGTTCGTCGTGTACTTTCCCCCATCTGTTATAACAACTATAACGGACGGTTCTAGATAAAATGGACATCTTCCCTGGCCGTAAGTGTCTATGCCGGTTTGCATGCGATTTATGTTCAGCACGTCCAGGGCGTGCTTCAAAGCCGCACCTAACGTCGTTAAACCGACGCATTGCAAGTTCTTGAGTTCGTTCATGAAGGTTGCCAAATTCTCCTTCCATCCTGCCTGAAAGAGCGAGAGTATCCATCACATACGATTCAATAAATTAAATGAACTTCAATATCAAGTTTTTTTTTCTATTGAAAACAAACTGTTTAACGGTAAAATTGTAAATTAGTCTTAGATCGATCTTTTTTGCACTTTATTTCTCTGTTTTCACAAACTGAAATATATTGTGACAAAATATAAATAAATTTGTTTTTAACAAACGAAAGATTTATTTTAACAAAAATTCGATGTGCGCGCTCTCTCTTTCGAAGTTCGAGAAACAAACTTGATAATTGCCGCGCAAAATCAGCTACGTGGAAGGATGCCGAACAATGCTTTCTCCCACGAACAGGGGTCATATGTTTCCCGATAGGTCAATCCCGCAGGTTTTATACGACTGCGAACGAAGCTGTCGAACAGTCACGGGAATAAGGACAAGGGGATGCGCAAGTATATTAAATTATTCGGCGTCAACGGACGAACCTAACCCAACTTGAGGAAGAGAGAAAGAAAAAAAGCAAGGAGGAAAAGAAGAACGTGAACACACTTACGAACACTGCCCGGCACTTACCAGGGAGCGTTTACATACAATATAAGTCGCTGTCGCACGCCGCGAATGAGAGAGAGCACGTATGCATATGCAATTAAAAAACGAAGAGAGAAACACCGCCGGGAACAACAGAAAAGAAAGTGAATTTTCGAACGAAGACCACGAGACGTAGGCGGGAAAAAAAAAGGGAACGTGAGGAAAACGTACCTTGATATTCTGAGGTGGTTCTTCGAAGGTCAGAAGCATGTAACGATCCCCGCGGCTTTCTGGCGATCTTTGCCGTACCTATAAAAAAAAAAAAAAGAAAAAAAAAACATTATTTTCACTTTACGTAAGCGAGAAATATTTACGTACGTATATCGCGGCGAGAAAAATCGGCGGGATAGCACCGCGATAAGGCTAGGTGCCGAACGAACGAGAAAGAGAGAGAGAGAGAGAGAAGAGAAGACAGAGACACAAAAAGATAGATATATAGAACCTCTCTCTTTCTCTCTCTCTCTCGCCGTTCCTCCCTCCCTCTACAACACACAGGCACCGCTGGCCAGACCACGACGAGGACGAGCGACGCGGAGCGGCGCTACGAGGCGCACGGCACGGCGGCGTTAAAAGGTTCGTGTTTTCCCCGGGCGTACCTTCACGAAAGTCTCCACAGCGCTCTTGGCTACGTCCAAGAGGGTAGGACGACCGCCCAGATATGCCCTCTGATTCATGGAGGCCGACGTGTCAATTAGAAATACTATTATGGTCATTTTTCACGAAAAAAAACGACGGAGGTCACGGGTAAAGATGGAGAGATGGCCCCAACGACGGATGATGATGATGACAACGACGTGACTACGTAGACCGACGACGATGGAAATCGCGAGGCGCGCGCGCGCGTACTCGTGTACGTTTATTAACTAGCAGGCACCAAGGCTTGGCTTGAACTCCTGTGTGCGTCCGAGCCCCTCCGAACTAGCTACGTAGGTTGTCCTACGACGACGACGACGGCGACGACGACGGCGACGTTAGCGTGGCGCATAGCTGCCCCGACCATTGAACGCTCTCCGAATACCCTCTCCGAAAAACGAACTTCTCTTTTATCGTAACGGCGTTCGCTTGGTCCGTTTCTCCTTCTCTCTCTATCTCCCTATTTCTCTCTCTCTCGCTCTGGTACAATTGTGGGCACATGTGTGCGTGTACCGACGAGTTTTAAACATATACATACGTGTGCGCGCACGCCGCGCTCGGTCAAATTGCGAGTTCTCTTTCTCTCTCTCTCTCTCTCTCTCTCTTCTAGCGGTGTATCAGTGCGCACGTACATGTGTCTCCCCTCTAAGCCGTTGCTTGTCCTCTCTCTCTCTTTCTCTCTCTCTTCCGACGCGTCCTTCTATCTCTCTCACTTTCCCTCTGTTTATCTTTTTCTCTCTCTTATCACCAGATCTGAGCTCGTCTCGCTCGCGCTTCTGTTTCTCTCTCGTTTTCGCACATCACGCCCTCTCGGCGCGGTGGGGTGAACTTGCGAACACGTGACGCGTCCCCGGGCCTCGCCATTGGTCTTCCCCCTCTCCGCCGCTCGCAATGTTGCACGTTTGCACTTTCGGTACACTTGTTCTTCCTCCGTCCTCTACGCTCACGTTTGCGTTTTCGTTTCTGGGTGCAGAAGGTGCGAGGAGGAATTATGGACCCACATTTTTTTTTTTTTTTGATCGGCTCCGTGTCGCGTCTTACGTGTGTGCGCGCAATTTGTAGCGCTTTGTCGCGTGTTTGTCTACTTTTCGAAATGAAAGAATAACATGTTTCCTATACAACAACGGAATGTCTTCTAACTAACGGAACGGACGCGGTTATCGCGACAGATTGAAGGTCGAAATATCAATTTATTTACAATTGTATTTTTGATTAAAAATAATCTCTTGTTGCGAAAGCTTTTGTATTGCTTAAATATAATGTATTGTTGTTAGGATCTGTAGTCGCCGGTTAGCGACGTGAGTGTCTGCGGAACCGTTTCGTAAGACCTCAGCGATAACGCGGCCGCTTTCAGAGCCGCGTTGACACAAGCGGCCTCGTCCAGATTTCGATGGATTCCGCAAATAATGCCGGCCGCAAGACAATCTCCGCACCCGCTCACGCTGAGCACCTCGCCCGGACGAACGTCCGCGACGGGATACAATCGGGAGTCAGCGGTCGGGGAGTTCACGATCAGCTGACCGTTCTCGTCGTAAAACGGCCGTTCCCACGAAGCTCTGCGCGTCACCTGTGACACACACGGTATAACGGGAAATCAATAAATTTCTTGCAAATTAATCCGTTTGTTGATTTGAAAAACGGATATATTTCAGATATATTTGCACTAACCAACACTCCCTGCGAGCCCAGGGTGGTTATAACGACCGGAATGTGTTCGTTTAATCGCTCGGCAATATTTTTCACAGCCGCCAGGTCCGGATCTTCAGGAACGGGAATGTCGAAACAATTTGCTATGAGTTTCAATTCGTTTCGGTTGGGCGAGACGAAGTGCAACACATCCTTCCAATGAGGTCCGGCCTCGAATATCCTCGTTGCCGTCCTGACGTCCGTAGGCTCGAACCACACTGTCAAAGCGAAAATAAAAAAACAAGTTACAATTTTTAATTTACCGTCAATTAGCTTTGATTAATAAGAAAAAACGGCCAGAAATAAAGTTGAAAAAGAAATAAAATACATTTCTTGTCCTAAATAAAATAATAAATGTCCTTCCTGGACAAACTCCGAAAAAGTTACCTGGACAGACCGGGTCTGTGAGACCCACACGCGATTTTAAAATAAAATATCCTCAAAAAATTAGTATTTTTTGATTCTACGTCGATAAAAAAAATTGAAGAAATCTCTAATTTTGTACCGTTCAAAAAAAAAATTACATTTTTGGATCTGGGAGACCTGTGTCAGTCCATGAAATAATAAAATTTATATAAAATTTGATTCGATTTTCCATTACAAAGATCGAGCGAAACTGAATTGTTTCAACATTGCTATTCTCTCTCGTCGCATTAAATATAAATTTAAAAGATAACAAAACTACGTTGTAACAAACGCGTGCGAGTAAAAAATACATGCGACTTACAGATAACAAGCGTTAACAAAATTAAAAAATTCTTTCGAGGAGAGAGGTACAATGCGAACGTGTAACGCACTCTGGCGTTTGCGCGTCGAGTTAGTAACTGATTCCGAGAATGGACGCGTGATTCGGTCGCGTCTTCTTAAAGGGACGAGCGCGAGTAACAACAATACGGTGTCGCATTAGATGATCGCGACGTAAGTTTTCATTACACCGCGTTTGTTACATATTTTTTACGCGCTCGGCATTGTCTGAGCGATGGGTAAGACGAAGACGGGCAAGGCCGCCGTCATATGCACGGCGGTCGCGTTTGTTCTGGTAATAATCGCCTTTACCACACCCAATTGGCTGGAAACCGACGGTAAACTGGAGAATCCGCAATTTGTCAAGATCGGTAAGATCGCATGGGATTATAGATAGAGAGAGCGAGAGCGAGAAGAGATTAGATTAGATTGTAGAAATTTTAATCCATAAATATTGCGCGCGTCTCAAAACACTCGATCACAAAACTATCACCAGTGTGTGTAGTTCGGATTCTTATGTTTCCAACGAATATTTTACTTTCGATTTAAAACTGCGTTCGACATCTCTTCCCTAAATGTCTCGTTTAATAATTCTCCTCATTATGTTAACGATTATGATATATCGAAACACAGATAAAAATTTCGGGCGTAAGAAGACAGAATATTTAAAGCTTAATTTTCTTTCGCAGGTCTTTGGCAGGTGTGTTTCCACGGTTTCCAGGATCCGCGTCATCTCTACGACACCAGATTCTACGGATGCTGGTGGGTGTTCGAAGAGGAATATTACATCATACACGACATACTTCTGCCAGACTTCTTCGTCGCCACGCAGTTCTTCTTCACGCTTTGTCTGACTCTGCTGCTGATCGGAAGCTTCCTGACCATTTTGTACACCTGTTGCTCCCGTCATCACGACAAGTTTCTGCTGCTGTTGTGGACAACCGGTGGCAACTTGACTCTGGCCGGAGTCTGCGGTATCATTGCGGTCATTATTTTCGGCGCCAGAGGCGACGGACGCGACTGGATGCCCAACTGGGAGCACAACGACATCAGCTGGTCGTACGCTCTGGCCGTTGTGGGCAGTTTCACCCTCGTGGCCTCGGGAACTCTGTTCCTGATCGAGGGACGAAGGCACAGGAAGAAGCAAGAGCGAATATTGAACGAGGAGCAGAAAACGCACACAACGATCTAGCACATAACGAATTAATATCCGCGATATTTGTCGACCCTTTGGGGATGGGATCAAAAAAATTTGCTCGACATCACAAGTTTGTTTTTTCAAACATGGATCGACGATAAAAGTTTGTAGAAATGATTCTTAAATTCAAAAGGAGTGCGACTAGACTTTTCGACGTTAAACATTCGTCGTCCTCAAAGGGTTGTTGAAACATCATGAGAGAGAGAGACCGCTCCACTCAAAAATTCTCATCCACGCACATATAGACAAAACTTCAAAGACTTATTAATATTTTACATTGTTACATCATCTATATATATATATATATTTTACTCTATCTAAATATTTACTCATGTGAAATTAAAAAAATCTACAGAACAATGTCTGAGATTGCGTTGAGATATTGAAGTTATAGGATATATATATTTTTTACGGAAAAAAAAAAGAAAAAAATTATATAAAATTTCTCAAGTGCCGTTAAACGTGTACCGATGAGAAAAAAAACGTACACATATCGAGGAAAGTCCGTCCGTTGTATTCGGTCTGAGATACAGACTTTGTAGACTAATTTTTCTATGTATGTAAATAAAAACGCATTTAGATGCTGCTTTTAATAGTTATACTGCCGAAACTCCAGTCTTTTTCTACTTCGAATGCGGGTTGAGATGAACAAGTGAGATAACGACTCTTTACGACCTCGCCAATATATATATGTATATATATTGTTACCCGAACCGCTCGAATTGCGTGCGATAATCCTCGGAGACGCAAATTAAGTCAATTAAGTACGTATATATATATGTATACGGTTTGCGAAGTGACCTACTTCTCGCGAACACGAATTCGTTTTTCGAATCGCGGAGATATTGTGTCTCGCGTGCGAGAGGGTGGTACGTGAGAGAGTCGTTGGCCCAATTTACATTCTATTTCGATCGCGAATCTTCTCTGCAGTGTCGCGCGTATATCAACCGCGCTGCGGTTTACGAAAATAATGCGTCATGTATGAGCTTTGTAAGACGTGACGCATATGTAACATTTCTCCTTCAAAGAATCTCGAGCCGATGATTCGTGCGGAAGTGCGAATTAACATTCATTCATGTCCCTCCGCCAACAGAACGTACGTTTCTTTGCGAAACGCTAATCTCGCTTTCGACGGGAAGAAGTAAAGGACAAAAGAAAAAAAATAGAAAACGAACATCGGCCGAGAAGAGAGACGGAAGTGCGTGTTACATCGTAAGAAAAAGAGCGTTCCCCCGTGTCTGTTGGTTACGCAATGATTTGCGCGTTCGTACAGTAACGTATTTATTCGCGATCTGCTTTACAGGCTCGGCTTTACATGATCAAGGTTGGAATGCGAGGAGAGAGAAAACGCGTGTATGTAAATTGAATTAATGTGACACACAAAATGTGACACATTGCGCCTTGACGAAGTAAGGAGCGTAACATTCATCTCACACAAGTGTCGGCGATTGCCCACCAGTGTGTTTCGACGTTCAGTTTGAATCTAAAAAAAAAATCTCAAAAGATCTGCGATTTTTAAAACGAACGCTCTCTCTTTTATTTCGCGTTTGTTCCTTTAATCGACATTTAACTTCGATTTCGTGTAATCTGTTATTAACAATTGTTCTCTGTGTGAATCCGCGACGGGTAGATTTTTCTTTTTTCCCTTGGCGCACGTTCCTGCGCAGTACTCGATTACGTTACTCGCTCGACTCGTGGGATACTTGCGCGTGGTTCGAGGTGAGAAGACTCGGGTTGTGTTAGGCTCAAAGCTCCGCCAATAACACGGCGCGCTTGGGTGTGGTTTATTAGTGCCGTGGGACCGCGTCGTGCGGGTCCGTCATCATCAGGTGGTGATTTCGCGTGAGACTGTGAGACTGTCTGTTTGCGCGTCCACAAACACGGACGGGCGACGACGTGTGCGAATATTTTATCGCTCTCTCCCACGAATTTCTCACCTCGAAAGCGCGCGCGCGCGACAACAGAAACAGAATGAAGAAGAGGAGTCTGTCCGGGAACGTCGGCGTCGGCGTGTTCCTGGTGGCGTTCGTGTGCGTGTGCGTCGCGTTCGGCACGCCCTCGTGGCTGGTCAGCGACCCGCGAATCTCCGGTGCCAACTTAGACCGACTTGGTCTCTGGCAGCACTGCTTCAGGTCGCTGCCGAATCCCCAGGAGTCCGACGCGCCCAGACGTTTCTTCGTCGGCTGCAGATGGGTCTACGATCCGTTCACCGCGGGCTACTCCGAGATCCGTGGCTTTCTGCTGCCTCGTAAGCATTTATTTGTGCTAGTTTCTTTAACACAACAAATCATAACAAGCTCCGACACGTCAAATATCATTGTTGCACATCTTTGTGACAAGTTTTCGACTCGGAAAATCATTGTCATTTGATGAAACGGAGCATAACGACGAAATTTTCTTTGTTGCAGCGTTCATGGTGGCCACGCAGGTGTTCTTCACGTTCTGCTTTCTCCTGAGCCTGATATCGTTCATTCTGATACTGCTCTTCACTCTGTGCTGCGATCCGGAGCGCAAGAGATACATTGAGCTGATAACCGTCATCGGCTACTTGTGTCTGGCAAGCGGTCTCAGCGGCGGTCTCGCGGTCATCATATTCGCCTGTCTTGGGAACAAGGACGGATGGATGCCCGGACACGCCAACAATTATCTCGGATGGTCCTTCGCTCTGGGCGTGATCGGCAGCGTGCTGTTGCTGATCGCGAGCGGACTGTTTCTGGTGGAGGCGACCGTGCAACGAAAGAAACGGGACTACGTGAAGGAGTCGCAGACGCGATTCCAACTAGAATCTCGCGCCTGAATAAAAACCGATGACGTTGTTTTAACCAAGAGAGCGCGTTTTCGCGCGTGCGCGCGCAAAAAAAATAAAAACAAAAAACTTGTCGCGCGAAACGAGAAACGTCGGTTTGTTAAAAAAAAAAAAAAAAGTCTGTAGTATCTCTCATTCCGTCCACGAGAAACGCAATTTCTTACCGTAGAAGAATCTCTGTAGAATGTACAAACGAGCTGTATATTATTTTAAGCTTAGAGACTAAGACCTAACGCGTAAGTTCAATATTTTTGTACGATATATATTTTATATCTCTCTTTACGTACGTAATTAAGAAACACTCTGTATATTGCACTCGTATACACGCGAATCTCATACGAAGACCACAGGGGAAGAACTTGATGAGTCAATTTTGTTCGATTTTCTTCTTTTTGATGTTGTTTTATTTGTAGTAGTTAAAATATTGTAGGTAGTTAAAATAGAGTAGTTTTAATTATCCAAAGCGAGAAAAAGAAATTTTTGATAGATTCCATAGAGATAACATTTTTATCAAACGTGTAACACAGAAATACGGTATACGTTTTGAACTTTAAAATCGCTCTCTTCTCTAAAATTACAAAAATGTGACTTATCATGTTCTTCCTCTGTGGTCTTTTCATATACAGGGTGTCTGACAACGAACTATCAAGCCGACGTGTGTAGGTAGATGCTAAGACATTGCATGAGAAAAGCCATTTTTCTTTACAGCTGATAATCAGTGCAATAGAGTCCGATCGTTACCCTCCGCGCGCGCTCACATTGGCACACATTTATTAATTCATATCTTACTAACTATTGCGAAGTTTGCAAAATGATAAATAACTTTTCTGTTAAGAATGACCCGATCTATTTACACACGTCGGCTTGATAGTTGGTTGTCAGACACCCTGTGTATATTGTTCAGAGCTTTACGCACGACTATGTCGCACAAAATGTAACATACATACAAATGTTTTACAACTTCTAACAACGGTCTTACATATTTGAGAAAATTTAACATTTTCTTAACAACGAAAAATTGAGATATGTGAAATTACGTGTATAAAATAAAAATTTATGTCCCCCGTCCGCGTCCTCTTTTTATTATTTAAAATAAAACTTCTAACTTCCAAGTTTTATTTTCTAATTCAATTCCACCGCTTCCACTTGAATGTGCAAATATTTTAAATTTAATTTTAATTATTTTAACGGACGAAGAGATTGTGTAAAAAAAAAAAAAAAAAAACCGTTCGAAATATCTCCGAACGACGCCATTTGTAATATGGTGTAACGATAAGGAATCTTTCCAACAATGAGGTTGGTAACAATGAACGAGGACGACGTTAAGGTGTGGTGAGTGTTTTGACATAAACGGAGTGTTTTAACGAGCGGAGATAATTGTAACACAAATAATCGGCTTCGCGTCAAATTGTCCGAAAAACTCACCATGTCGGCAAACAAACAGGATTATCACAGAGCGTCAAGTAAGTGATCGCGCTAATTAATTTAGATCGTAATATTGCACAGGTAACATTCACTTTGAGGTAACCTGTACTATATAATTTGTTGATGCTGGCTTTTGTAGACGCTGTTGTATTTGGCGGAAGTCTCACGTTTGGGGCTCTTTTTCTTTTAATGATGGCCTTCATAAGGTGAGCGTGTCTCAAAAATTAATAATCTCTCGATCGAATTATCTCGTCTCGCAATTTTTATTGCCGATATCTCTTCTCTACCCTAATTGTTTTTCTTCCAGCCCGTATTGGATCGAATCATATCAAGAGACGTTTAGCAATTTCAAGCATATGGGACTCTGGGAATATTGCTTCGACCACTTCCGTTATCCCAGCTATCAGTTCGACAAGCAGTTCAACGGCTGTCATCACATCTTCTCGCAGGAGTACTACGTCATAAGAGAGTGGTTGTTGCCGGTGTGGCTCATGGTGGTTCAGACGTTCGTCACAATAGCCCTGTTGCTCTCCTGTTTCTCGTTCTTCGTGATAAGTTTGATCTGGGTTCGCTGGCCGTTGCGATTCGTACTGCATTACGAGTGGATTCTGTCGTCGGTCGCGTGTGGGTGTTCCGGAGTGGCTGGTAAGAACTTAACGAACGTTTCGCGGGAAGATTCTTATTCGATTTATCATTATCGCATTAAAATTCTTTCAGGTGCTCTCCTCTTCCTGTCGGTGTCCGTTTTTGGCGGACAGTGTTGGCGCCGGGACTGGCTGATGTATCCGAACTTCAATCACCTGTCGTGGGCGTACGGTCTCGCGGTCATATCCTTCATGTTTCACACGGTCGCCGCCTTTTTTCTGTACCTGGACGCGCGCACGGGTTACAGATTGCGCAAGGAGTCTCGCAATCTGGTGATGCAGATGCAGCCGAATCCGCAGTCCCATCACGGGACTCTCTCGTCTCGAAGCGGATACATATAAGTCGAGTCGAATCGTTCGACAGTCGAATCTCGAACTTCGAAGCGTGGGGGATTTTGTTGTTCCAATGAAGTAACAGATCTATGTACGAAAGACTGATCACGCACGCCGAAGTACGACTTCAAGTCCGTCCAATTTTATAATTCTTAAGTAACGCTTTGAGCGCAAAACTTCTTTTTTTTTTTTTTTTTTAACGAGAACACAAAAAAAGTTTTGTCTCATTGCAAAAGAGAATTACTTTGAGAGAATTTATTTAACACGGGTGACGCGATATTATTGTATACTCAATCGATTTGATCAATGTGTTTACACTTCTCATTCTCTAAACCACTCTGCATATGTAATACACATGAATGACAAGCTGTCTATCTATTCGCGTAACTCAAACACAGATTTATTTTGTGAGATTTTTATATATATTTTATATTATTATACGTTAGTACACAGAGCGCTAATATAGTTTGTATGTACAAATAGACGAAATTACGTTTCTATTTGAAAAAAAAAAATTATAAATATATATAAAACTTATCAATAAATGCGACTTACTTGGATTATAATGTAATGTAATGAACTAAATGCGAAAAAAATTTTATAAATTCGCACACGCGCACTCACCTGGAACGTTCGCGCGCGACGCGACGTCGAGGACGCGGCGCACGGTGTCGAGCTCGAGATTGCCATCGATAACGACGAGACTCGCCTGTTCGAGATGCGAGCGATGTTCATTTATCAATTCCGAAGTGATCGAGGAGAAAGATTCCATTTCGCTAATGCAGAAGCGGCACTCGCCATTAGCGTCCACTATTACTGTAAATCTGAAAATCGTCGGATTGGCGCACGTGGCTCTTAGCGAGATTAAAAAGGAAAGAAAAAAAATAAGGCCGCGAAAGATTACCTTGCGGTGTTCACGTCCGACGTTCGTTTTACGGTCTCGCCGGCGGGTCCTAAACTCCCGAGAATAATTCTTCCGTGATCGTCGTCGCCTACGACGGATATCAGTCGCGTGTTCTCCAAACCGAGCTTGATGAGCGCGTCGGCGATGTTACGGCCGACTCCGCCGCAGCTGTGTCTGCTTCGCCCGGCGTGTGTTCTGCCGTCGCTCTAAACACAAAATCTCTCAAAATTTTATATTGAGGCGAGCGCGTTTCTCGCGTTTGATCCTTCCAAAAAAAAAAAAAAAAAATTACAAACAGTAAACACCAACAAATTGCATGAAAAAAAAAGAGCGCGTTGTTTTACTTTGGGGCTCGAAGCCCCCATTAACTTCCGAGTCACGTGCGCTGAAAGAAACGAGCAGAGCTTGCTCGTGAAATATTAAGCCGCGACGTGCCTATACTCCTTTTTATAATTTTCTTTTTTTTGTATCTTTCTTTGTAACCGCAACCCCATAATCCTCGCGCATTTGTATTTTTCTCCCGTGTCTCTCGTCCAGTTTGTTTTTTCGCGGGGAGAGACGACGACGGCAGCCGTCGACCCCCTCGCGCCTGTGCCGTAGTTCATTGCTAGTCCGGTCGCCTGTCTCTCGGGGGACGGCGTTCACGACCGCGCGATCATTCTTCCACGATGATACTCCCCGTTCACGGGAGTCGGAATCCAAGAGGATGAAACGGAAAGAGTATACGGGACAGAGGGAACGGATGAAAAAAAAAAAAAAATAAATCGCGTTCTCCGTAAGGTACAACATTATCTCATGCGCCGCTGGTGTGCAAGGGACGAGATAAAGAGAGAAAGAGAGAGAGAGAGAAGCGTCGTAGCTGTGATCGTGGCCGCGGCGTCGCGACGACGCTTTCGACGTCGCGCGCACGAGCTCTCGACTCTGCGTGATCTGTGGCAGTGAGAAGCAGCGCGTCGCGTAAGCGCCGTGCCACGAAGCGTCGTGTGTGAGCGACATGCGCCACGGCTGGCGGCGGCCTTGCCGAGTGTCGACTGCAACCTGAGGGACAAGGACGAGAACGACAACGACGACAACGACTACTACTACTACTACTACTACGACGACGACGACGACGGCGACGGCGACGACAACGGCAACGGCGACGACGACGGCGACGACGACGACGACGACGACGACAAAAACAACGAGGACGGTGACCAGAACAACAATCGGGACTAGAGTGACACGCGAGACAAAACGGCTGTTAACGCCGGCAAAGGAAACACAGGAGGGTGTTTTTTTTTTTTGCGAAAGAAAGAAACCGAAGCGCCGCTGATTGAGAAAGATGCGGGAAAGCGACACATGAAAAGATACCGAGAGCGACACGCGCAGGTATGAGCAACGTGGACGACGTTGCCGAGGATTCTCGAGGCGGCGATGCCCGTGGAGGTAGCGCTACGTACGCGACGACGACGACGCCGACGACCACGTTCCTCCTCATGCACGCATCACCGACCGTCATACGGTCGGCCCGACTGACGACGCCCGATCGCGGCAGCAATCCGCGGCGATACCGATCGCGAACGATCGCATCACGATCCGTGATTTCGACGACGTGCGAGTCTGTGGTGTCGTAGAAGGTGTCCGGGACCCGACAGATTTCACGAGACGCATACAACCAGCTACCATATCGAGAGTCTTGACCTTTCGGCAATCGGGGGTTCGTGTTCCTCTTTTTCTTTTTTTTTTCTCTCTGTCTCGAGTGTCGTCTCGTTTTTGTTATACGCGAAACATTAAATCTCGTCGACGAAGACAAATCAAGACGACTCTCTCACACACACACACACACACTCTTTCTTTTTGTCTCTCGAAATGAAACATTTTTCATCTGAAGAAAGGAACTTTCTCTGACACGCACACACGCATACACACGAGGATCTTCCCCGAAGAAAAAGACTTTCCTCCAAGTACATACGGCAGGAATTTTCGTCAAGGACCAAAGCAAGAGGAAAAGGACAGTTTTCTCGTGACACGTCGCGCGTGCCTTCCGTCCCCAGGAATCCCACGCAAAAAAGAGGTAAATCTAAAAAAAAAAAAAAAAACAACAGATCGACTAAACCGGTGATTAAAACGGCGCGGCGGCGACGATAAAAAATCATTCCCGTTTTTTTTCGCCGCGTGAGAACATCATCGGGTCTTCGATGATCTTCGATCCGCCTCGTGAGCTGAAAATTTTCTCTGAAACAAGCGCGGAATCGCGCGCGCGCGCGTGCGATTATTCTCGTTTTACAACACACGCAAAATCTCATCCGCCACGCGCGTACTTTACACGCGGCGCTTGTTAGAGGGATGTGATGTTATTTCAAGACAGATGATTTCAAGCGCGTTCGCGCGACGATGATGATGCCGCCGCCGCGATCGTATAATAACGCGCGAGCGTATAATCGGCATTTGATTAAAACCGAAGGACAAGCACGAGCGCGACACGAGAGAGAGAGAGAGAGAGAGAGAGAGACGCTCCGCTGTAATAATGATGCGTACATGCGATCACATCATTCCGTCCTTCGTTTACGTGGCGTGGTTGCACGCGGCGAAAATAGGACAAGCCGTTTTACAAGCTGCCAATAAATTCCTTCAGGAAGGTCGGGAAGAGAAGATTGCATAACCCTCCACCACCACCACCGTCGCCGCTGCCGCCACGTTCCCTCCCATTTGTGCCACCTTCTCTCCACACAAATTCTCCTCCTGGTTTCCTACCCTCTTCTCGTGGACGCGCGCGCGCACTTCCTCGTCGTTCTTTTTCTTCCCTCCCGCTTTTTCGCGCTTCTCTCCTTTCAGAGAGATATGACATCGATATCTAATTACAGACTACTCTCGATAATCTTTTTTTATCACTCTCGTTTCTGTCGTAGAAGGCGCACCAGTGCCTGTTCAAGCACGTCTCTCCGGCATCGAGAGAGAGGGAGAGAGAGAGAGAGAAAGAGAATCGCACGCGACATCGATCTGCGCGTGTGCTTCTTTTTTTTCCGTTTTTTTTTTTTTTCTACCACGGAATTATGCAAAGTAGGCAGTGCTGGACGCCGGCCAGGACGTTGACTGCTCGTCCGAGACGAGAATCGTTTCTTCGTTAGGACGAAAGGAGGTAAAACGCGCTCTCTGTCAATATCCTTTCCTCTCTCTCTCTCTCATTCTCTCTCTTTCTCTCTCTCATTCTCTCTCTTTCTCTCTCTCCCTCTCGGTTTGTCGTCGACGTGGGGAGCGCGCTAACGCGCAAGGTTTGAACGATCGATGGGCCCTTACCCGCTTTCTCTCGCTCTTCCGTGTTTTCGTTACAATGCGCCACTCGCGTATAGTCACCACGACGGCCTGTGTGCATGCAACGGCGAGTGCCGATGCACGGAAACGGGAGCATGATTTGGCGCATCGCTCGCTCCGGCTACCAAATCGAGTTTCTTCTCCCTCGTCCTCTCCTCGACCGGCGATATGTAGATTTGAACAATCGCCGTGGCGCGATCCTCGATTCTCGCAGATTCTTTCTTGTGTGCGCCGAGATCGCTCCCTTCCTCTCCACTTCGCATCTTCTTTCATTTCCGAAATCTGCGCTCGCGTATTTTACAAATTATATTTGATAAATTTGTATTTTCCAGCGTATCGTTTCTTCAATCTTGCCTCCTCTTTTTTTCTCGTTACACGATGAAGTCTGAATAGAATTCTCTCCGGCTTTCTCTCTCGCCCCCCCAAGATTTTCTTCGTTTTTCTAAAATGTTGTTTTCTCTGTTCTACTTGCTTGTCCTCGGACAAATTTTCGTTCGCCGAGCCCGGCGGCGATTCCGATATCACTTGCTCGGGCGCGCATATCCTCTCTCTATCTCTCGCGATTTATCTCCGTCCCACCGTCGGAGGAGCTACATAGGCAGCAGGACGATCGATAAATAGAATCGCCTATCGCACGCTACAACTGTCAGAAAGAAATACAATTCGCCGAGGCGCACGCTAGCCTCTCGCTCTTTCCTCCTCCTCTCCTCCCTTCCGTGTCCCTCCGCGCCGCTATTCCCGGCTCGAAATGCACGCACGTCAGGTGTTGAATTCCGCGAGTATCTCTGTCAAGGCGGCAAGAAATTCCTAGTCTCTCATTATTAGTCACGAGAGACGAACAAAAAACCGAACGACATATATATATATATATATCCGTAATCTCGGCGAGCGATTAGAAATCCGCTAACGTCGTGAGCATTTACAAACTTCTCCTTTTAGAAGACACGACGTAACTTCACGACGTAACTTTGTGTTTCAAAAGAAAAAAAAAAGAACTCGGAAAACTAAATAACAAGATTTACGAACAATGCTTTTCACGCGTGTGGAAATTGATCTCTCCTGTCTTTTCTTTCTCGCATGTTTCCGCAGGAAGAACAACCACACCGGAAAGGATACCCGCTATCGCGGTGTGTCAACGGCGAAGCGGTGCAGGACACAGGCGCGCGTGACACGAGGAGAGAGAAAGAGAGAGAGAGAGAGAGGAACCATGAATGCTACCACGAATGACCTTCCGGTGCGGCGATGCAGTAACGGCGTGCCTCGCGTGACTCGCGCCGGTCTCGAGTAAAGGATCGACCTCCTCCTCCTCCTCCTCTCCGCCTTCACCGCTCGCGTAGTTAAACACGCGGTGGTAGCCATCCACCAACGGTGCAACGCGCTGGCCGTCTCTCCCACTCAGGCCCCCCACATCCGCGGGGTATACAATCCTTACGACGAGGACACGCACACCAGGGTGGCACGATAGTATGACGGTGATGCTGCTGCAACGTTCAGTCACCCCGCAGTCGACGCACAGCCAAAAAACAGCGACGAAGGACTGCAGCGCGAAGCCGCCCTTTCTCTTCCTACTGGAAGACGATCGCGACGAATACCGGCATTCGACCGAGACCAACACCACGACCACCACGAACAATAACAACAACAATAACAATAACAATAACAACAATAGCGTCAATAATAACAATAACAACAACAACAATAACGATACGTCTAAAAGGAACGAACGGAGAAGCAGCAGCCGCGATTACGTCGCCAACGAGGCGTCGTCGTCGGTGACGTCCCAACGACTCGCCGGCGGTCAGGACGTCGCGATGCGATATTACCGTCTCTGGATATACGCCTGTAACCTGGTGCTGTTCGGTAGCGCGGTCGGTTTTGCCGCCGCGGTGTCGCAGACTCTTCTGTTCTCCGG